ACGATTAATTTTGTATTTTGATATTTTATGATATACTTATGTTTTGGATACGCCTCATTTATATTATTATGCCTCACTAAGTGAATACTTAGTGTGTGATGGTTTCACGTGTAGGTAATAGCGTACGAATGGAGTAAGGAGTGCATCTGGCATCGTAAATCAAATGTTGCCTCATTAGTAACTATATGACATATATGTCTACTTTTGATATCACTATATGACATGTAATAGATATATGATAATGCTCTCGTATGTATTTGACATATGAGTTGTAGTATTTACTACGTTCGAACTTTAAGGTTATTTTATATACTAGTAGTTAATGAACGTTTTTATTATTATTATATTAAAATGTGTTATTTAAAGAATCAAATTTTTACTGGTTTTCAAGTACAAAAATGTTTTAAAAGTCATGTGACATCTATGACTCGTGTACGAGGACGTATACGGGAAATGAGTGTTACATGTAGGTTTTCCATCTATTACATGAAGAATAAATTAAATAAATCTTAGCTCGTCCGGAAAACTTGTAGTTCCCTGAATCAATAAGAAAGTTTTATGCTTTACCATATATTTGCTTGTCTTTAGCATCATTTGGTAGTTTTGTATTACTGAGCTTCCCAAAACTCACTCTTTTACTTACCATTTCAAGTTAAAGGAATTAATTATGTGCATATCGACATCAACATGGGAGCTCCTTCGGCGTTGCTTGCAGAGTACAATACTCGTATAATTAGGGGGCATGTATGTCACATATTTCTTTTATACTGAGTCTGAAACTTGTACGATATTGTGTATGATTAAAATTTTGATTTTATTATTTGAATGATTTCTAACCTTGTGTTTTTTATAAATTGTTTGCGGTTTTTTCATGTTTTAATAAAAAAATTATTTTTCATGTATTTTTACTGTGGGTTGCTCTAGTGGCCCTAATATGACACCTCGGATCGGATCAATTCACTCGTATCGATCTGAGAGTGTTACAATACAAGACTAAATAATCTATAAAAAAAATAAGAAAAACCTAAATTAAAAAAAATAAAATCTCTAAAAGTATGAGTTTATGACAGTATCCCAAACACCCCTCCATTTATTATGACGTAAGATTATAATGTAAGATTCATGCATGAATTAATTCTCACACATCCATCTTTTTGTCTTTGTTTGAGTTCAATTATATATGTATTCTATTCATGAAATAGTAGAACTTAATTATTGTTTTTACTTAAATATTCCACTTGGAGACCTTTCAAATAAATGTATATATCCCACTTCCATTATATGGTACAATCAAAATATATATTTTAATATCAAACTTAGTTTCAACGAATCAAACAACTTCAATAATAAATGAATTGTTATTCTTTTTTGAGATCTAAATTTCGAGCGTCATAAATGTAAATAATATGAGCGTTTAATATTAAATAATTTAAGAATATTATTTAAATAGATACTACCTTATATTTATTTCAAATTAATAAAAAAATACTAAACTTAGTTTACTATGTTCACTTCAAGTATTTTTTTACCTTATTAATTAAACGATTTAATTAATTTTAAATTGATCTATCCTGTTATAGTTATTAAATAGTTAGTTACCAAGAAATACTAATATTATTATAAATCTAAAATAAATTATTTAATTTAGGAGGACACTTTAAGATAATCATAATTGAGTTGAGTAAGATTTTTAGATAATTCGACTTCGATTCAAATAATATATTTATTTATTTGATATCGAGTTGACTCAAATTTAAAAAATATTTTACTTATTTCGATTATATCCTATTCTGGAATAAAAATTTATATCTTATGCAATTTAATATAAATATTCTTTGTATTTAAAAATAAAAATAATTAATTATGTGTATATATATATATATATACAAAAAATTCTTTAAATATCTGTAAATATAAATATATATACATGTCCCCCTTTTAAGGGTTAACTACATGTACTTAAACTATTCATTAAGTTTGATATTTATTCCTAAACTTCAAGAATGTTCTTCTTATACCTTCAGACTAAAGTTGCGGCTTATTTAACTATTTAATAATTGGTCCGTTATTCCACGCTCCTCCTACGATATTCTGACCAAAAGACCTCTTTATTTTTAATTTCAGGAATTTAAATATTGGGTAAAGTACACATATGGTCCCTTGAATACGGGATACTATTTTGTTAAGTCTCTTAACTATTAAAAGTTATAAAATGATCCCTCAACTACATGACATTATTTTGTTGAGTTCCCGTTATAAAGTTACAAATGATAATTTGACTACTAATATGTTATATATTTGTTCTTTTTCGTTAAAAAATGTCAATTGTCTGAGCTGGACTTTAATTTGTTGACTGAGATATGATAAAATTATATTTTAAAGATGTTTAATGGCACCGTCGTTGCTTTTAAGTACTAGCTCGATGACATAATGTAAACGAAAAATTGATCTATAAAATACAACTCAAACATTTATGAGATTAGATTTTACCATATCTCACTAACAGTTAGCGTCCAGCTCAGACGGTCTCTAATTTCTTAACAAAAAAAATATGAGTTTAGAACATATAAACAATCGAGTAACCATATTATAACTTTTAATAACTGAATACTCAATAAAATAGTATCCTATAATCAGAAGACCATTTATATACTTTACCCTTAAATCTTTTACTTGCTAATTTAACATCTTTTTAAGAATTGAATTGGTATTCTAAGTGATCGAATCATCTATTTTCCATTCAATCTATCTAATAATGATTTTATTTAGATAGTATAAAATAATTATAAGATAATATTTATTCAAAAAAATTTATAATTGAATTTCTAGTTTTTTTAGTTTTGTAGCTGTTCACATTAGGAGTGTTAAAAAAAACCCGAAACCGTTAACCGATATAACTGTTATATTTAATAGGTTAATTAACAGAACCGTTAATACTAAACGATTTCAGTTAACTGAACCGATAAAATGATGGTTAACAGTTAAGGTTACGGTTACAAATTTGATAAACGGTTAACCGTTAATAAATTAAATTTATAATTATATTTCTAATTTATTATATTTTTACACAAGCAACTTGATATAAATTTCTATTATTTATATATATATATATATATATATTTAATAAAATTTGTATACAAATAACTTAATTTTTTTTTATTATTTGTTTCTTTGAAAATATAAAAATATACTTACACCAATATAATTATATGTTTATTGTTAGGCATTAAGATATTAAGAGGTGTACATACTTACACTGGTGTAAGTATGTGTTAAGTGTTACACTTTTTTATTTTATTTACTTACACCGTTGTAAGTATATGTTAAGTGTATATATTTTTTATTCTATTCATTTACACCGGTGTAGTATGTGTTAAATGCTACACTTGTTTATTTTATTCACTTACACCGGTGTAAATATGTGTTAAGTGCTACATTTTTTTATAGTATGAATTATGAAAAAATTTGATAAAAAATTGTAATAGGTTAACTTACAACCGAACTGTTAATAACAGTTAACCGTTAGTAGCTAATCATTTCTTAATGGTTAGGTTACGTTTAGAAAAATCTCATAACCGAACAACCCTAATTCACATTAATTTATTTTACATTTAATTTGATGTTTCTAGTTAGATCATGGATTATTAATTCAACTAGTTACTCTAATATGATTTTAACAACATTATGTTTCCTTTCTTAGGGAAAAAAAATACAAACACCCCTCCTAAAAAATCACCAATATATATGCACTCTCATTTTAGTTTCTTGAATTGTTCTATGATATTAATCGCATCGAAAAATTAAATCTCAATCTTTTATCAATACATATTTAAAGTTAAAAATGTTATTAATTAAAGTTTAATTTTTAAAATAAATCAGGAATTAAATTATTAAATCAAAAGTAAAAGATTAAATTTAAAAAATTTAAAAGTATAGGGACCCGATCATAGTTGTACCAAAAAACAAAAAGAAACAAAACCGTCGATTTGGGAAACGACAGGGAAAGGAAAAGGACATCCAGAAAGAGACCATCACTGTATTTACCACTGAATTATTCAAGATAATATACTCTTTTACTTCTTTGGGTATGTTTGTTTTACAAAATATGAATTTTGGAAAATAAAATATATTTTTTAAAAATTATTTTATAGTGTTTGAATGATATTGTGTAATTTATTTTCTATTGGTTGATATTTTTTTAAAACTTTTTATGATAAACATCAAATACTATAAATAATATTATTTATTAACAAAATAATAATATTTTTAAAATATTAGAATAATTTATCTAATATTATTTATGTCAATATAATTATTAAAATATTATATCTACAATGTTATAAATAAAATATTAAGATTATAATATTTTATTAAAATAAAATTATTATAAATTATAATAATTATATATTAAAATAATACTAATATATTATTAATTATATTAATTATTTATTAAAATAATAATATTATTAAAATATTAGATATTATATTTTAAGGAGTATATTTTAAATATTCAACCATTGAATAATACTATTTTTATGAAATTAATAAATATATTAATTTTATTAATAATTTATTATATATAGTTATTAAAATTATAATATTATATATTATTAAAATAAAATTATTAACACAACTCTTCAACATTAACATACCTCGAATATTTTAGTAAAAATATAATTATAACAATGAAGTATAATATTATATTATAAAAATTATCAATAAATATAGTTAATAATTAATATATTAAAATAATACTAAAATAATATATTAATAATAAATATATAAATAATAAAATTTTAAGCTTTTATGCTTTAAAACAAAATTAATAAAATAACTTACGAAAAATTAAAACGTAATTCATTTTTTAAAAAATATAAAAAAAATCAATTAATAAAAAAATTATATTGATCAACTAAAAAAATAAAAATATTTTTCAAAAAACTAATTACAAATAAAAACAAACCTTAAATTTCTTCAAAAACTTCTCAGTTACCTTTTGCTTCTTATCGATTTCCTGTTGTTGGAGAGAAGGGTTATATTTTATGTTCTTTCGTTTTCCATTGCGTGTGTTTTACTTTCCCGAACTAAGTAATGGAGGAATGTTATTGCTTTGATTGAGTTCTAAAGTTATCCAAACACTCCCTAGTTCAATTTCTGATCTGCAGCAACCAACAAAAAGAACAAGGAAACAAAGGGTCTTTCTTTGTATCTTTTTTCTCTTTTAGAGTAGCATAAAAACCATTCCTTTTTTGCTCTTGGAGGATCACAGTTAGAAACAAGTAAGAGTTGTTATTATACTTCAATGTTTCCTTTTTGTGTTGATTTTTGGTTGAATTTGTGTATGAATGAGAGGATATGAAAAGTTTGTTCCTTTGTTAATGGTTAAAATAGTTGAATTGTGCATCCGAGTAATTTTTTGTGTATAGAAAATAGCTAAAAAACTTCAAAAAGAAGCGAATTTCTGAGTGTTTTTTAAAGGCGTGATTTATCTAGTTGGTTTCTGTTTATAACAGGAATCCAACAACTTTGAGTTTAATTGTGTTGTTTTTGCTTGAATTTATGTAATGAGGGGATATGAGAAGAATCGTTCCTTTGTTGATGGTTAAAATAGTAGAATTGTGTATCAGAGTTCTTTTGTGTCCGGAAAATAGCTAGAAACTTCAAAAGTAAGCAACTTTGCTATGTGTTTCTTCTTTAAGGTTTGATTTATCTAGTTGGTTTCTGTTTGTAGCAGGAATCCAACAACTTTTGAGCTTAATTGTGTTGATTTTGTTTGAATTTATGTAGTGAGAGGATATGAGAAGAATTGTTCCTTTGTTAATGGTTAAAAATAGTACAATTATGTATCTGAGTTCCTTTTTTTGTTTGGAAAATACCTAAAAACTTCGAAAAGAAACTATTTTGCTATGAGTTTCTTCTTTAAGACATGATTTATTTGGTTGGTTTCTGTTTGTAGCAGAAATCTGACAACTTTGGGAGTCTAATTGTATTGATTTTGCTTGAATTTATGCATATGAATGTTCCTTATTTTAATGGTTGAAATAGTATTATGTATCCGAGTTCCTTCTTTGTTTGGATAATAGCTCATAAACTTCGAAAAGAAGCGATTTTGCTACGAGTGTCTGCTTTAAGATATGATTTCTCTGCTTGGTTTTTGTTTATAGCAGGAATCTGACAATCTTGGGAGTTCAATTGTGTTTATTTTGACTGAATTAATGCATAGGAATGAGAGGATAATAGTAGTATCATGAATCTGAGTTCCTTTTTGTTTGAAAAATAGCTGAAAACTTCAAAATGTGCGATTTTGCTTGGAGTTTATGCTTTAAGAGATTATTTATCTGTTTGGTCTCTGTTTATAGCAAGAATCTGATAAACTTTGGAGTTTAATTATTGTTGATTTACTGATTATCTTTGTTTATGCAGGTTTTTTTTTATGTAGATGGCGACACTAGGTGATATAGGGGTTGCAGCAGCCTTTAATCTGCTTACTGCACTTGTATTCTTTCTAGCTTTCGCGATATTGAGGCTTCAACCTTTCAACGATAGAGTTTATTTTTCGAAATGGTATCTCAAGGGTTTAAGAACCAGTCCTTCGAGGTACGGGGCATTCGTGAGGAGGTTTGTCAACTTGGATTTCCGTTCCTACTTGAGGTTCTTGAATTGGATGCCTGAGGCACTCAAAATGCCTGAACTTGAGCTTATCGATCACGCCGGATTGGATTCCGCTGTTTATTTGCGCATTTACTTGATTGGGTATGTCTCAATATCTCAACTCTTCTTGTTTTGATTTGCTTTTTTGTGGCTTATGCAATGGAATATATGCTTTATATTTGTAGGTCTTTTGATTGTTCACTTGGTATTTTGCATGCAGGCTAAAGATTTTTGTCCCCGTCACTCTTCTTTCGTGGGCGGTCCTAGTGCCGGTTAATTACACGAATAACACATTGAAGTCGCAGCTGAAGAATGTAACTTCAAGTGACATTGATATGCTCTCAATTTCAAATATTCCACTTGGATCGGATAGGTCGGCGATTTTATATCATTGCCAACTGCTTTTGTTATCTGTCATTCTGATCTACACATTCTACTCAGAGCATTTATATATTTTCTTGTTTACCTTTCTTTTCGAAATAACTTATATCACGGCGGAACGATGTTTAATCCTATGTTGTAGGCTTTGGACTCATATTGTTATGGCTTATGCTTTTACCTTCTGGACTTGCTATGTGTTGCTAAAGGAGTACGAGGCAGTTGCAAATATGAGGTTGCATTTTCTTCAATCGGAAAAACGCAGGCCAGATCAATTTACGGTAACATATATATTCTTTTCATTATTATCATGCAATTTATTTTACCAAATAAAAACTTATGCATGGAATTTGATTGTTGTAGGTGCTTGTTCGGAATGTACCTCCAGATCCGGATGAATCTGTTAGTGAGTCCGTGGAGCATTTTTTCCTGGTCAATCACCCGGATACCTATCTTACACATCAGGTGAGTTCCTCTTGAATTTTTTATACATAATAGCAATTCTTTTACTCAGTTAAAGGATTACTGTGGAATTCGATTTACGGTTTAGTTTTCTTTAAAAATCTGTGCAGGTGGTATGCAATGCAAACAAACTTGCTAAGATGGTGAAGACGAGGGAAAAAAAGCAGAATTGGCTCGACTATTACCAACTGAAGTACTCCCGAAATAACGCACAACGACCTATTATGAAGGTAATGTGCTGCTGTCTGTCATTGGTTTAAGACCTTGCCTCTCATAAATGTTCGGCTTTGCTTTATATTTCGTTTTCTCATAAGCATATTCTCTCTGGTAGACTGGTTTTCTTGGGCTTCGCGGTGAAAAAGTTGATGCAATCGACCATCACATATCTGAAATCGAGAAGTTATCCATCGAAGTAAGTATTTATTTTTCAACTTGCATGTTCTTTCGAGATAGTTTGATCCATTTAAAAGATTCAAGCTTGTTTCATATGCTGCTGCATACAATGATTTTATGCTGAAATATGATGTGCGGTTTCATATTCAGATAGCGGAAGAGAGGGAGAGGGTCTTAAAAGACCCGAAAGCAATAATGCCAGCCGCATTTGTTTCCTTTAAATCTCGATGGGGTGCAGCTGTTTGTGCTCAAACCCAACAGTCCAGGAACCCGACTTTGTGGTTAACAGAATGGGCACCCGAACCACGTGATGTCTATTGGCCTAACCTGCCAATCCCGTATGTCTCGCTGGCAATTAGGAGGCTGATCATGGCTGTAGCATTCTTTTTCCTGACATTCTTTTTCATGATACCGATTGCATCGGTACAAGCTCTGGCCAGCATCGAGGGACTTGAGAAAGTAGCACCGTTCTTGAAGCCAATAATCAATATGTCAGTTCCTTTTAAATTTCAAAATCTTGAGTCATTGCTTAGAATTCATTACGGTAATCATTGATTTTTTTCCTGCAGGAGGTTTCTTAAATCAGTTATTCAAGGTATTCTGCCTGGTCTTGTGTTGAAGCTGTTCCTCATTTTTCTGCCAACAATATTGATGATTATGTCCAAGTTCGAAGGATTCACATCGATATCATCGTTAGAGAGGAGATCAGCAACTCGATACTATCTTTTCAATTTTGTGAATGTGTTCCTTACCAGTGTTGTCGCCGGCAGTGCAATGGAACAGCTAAATACGTTTATCAAGCAATCAGCAAATGAGTAGGCATTTCCATTATTTTCGGAGTTCTATATATTTAGCACCTTTATGATTTCTGATTGTGTTTTCTGTGTCAAAACTTGCCTTTGCAGTATACCTAGGATAATTGGTGTAGCCGTACCGTTGAGAGCAACCTTTTTCATTACTTACATAATGGTCGATGGATGGGCGGGAGTAGCGGGCGAGATTTTGATGCTGAAACCACTTATAATATACCACTTGAAGAATTTTTTCTTGGTGAAAACCGAGAAGGACAGGGAGGAGGCAATGGATCCCGGGAGCTTGGGCTTCAACACCGGAGAACCTCAAATACAACTCTATTTTCTACTTGGCATGGTTTATGCTGCTGTGACACCCATTCTACTTCCTTTCATTGTAATCTTCTTCGGCCTAGCTTACGTTGTTTTCCGTCATCAGGTAAACGACTTGTCATTGGAATATTAGGGTGTCGGAAGTCGGGGGGTCGGGACAAGCAGTGAATGATTTTTTTTACATGTGCCTGATCCCTGTTTCCCCCCTCCTTGATAATGTAGATTATTAACGTTTACAATCAAGAGTATGAGAGTGGTGCGGCATTCTGGCCCGACGTCCACGGACGCATAATAGTTGCATTGCTTATCTCACAAGTCGCTCTCATCGGATTATTAAGTGCTAAGCATGCGGCTAAGTCGGCACCGTTTCTCATTGCTCTCATCGTCCTCACGATCTGGTTTTACACATTCTGCAAAGCCCGCTACGAACCTGCATTCATTCGATATCCTTTACAGGTTCCTCTGTTCTTGCAATTAGAAGCAAGTAGTAAAAAGCCTTTACTGTTCTTACCATTTCCTCGGTTATTTGTTTCAGGGAGCGATGATGAAAGACACGTTGGAACGTGCGAGGGAGCCGAACTTTAACTTGAAACCTTATCTTCAGAATGCATACGTGCATCCAGTTTTCAAAGAGGAGGACGAAGAGGATGAGGATGAATTTAACCATAAGTTGGAAACCGAGAGTGTTTTAGTACCCACAAAACGGCAATCTCGAAGAAACACGCCGGCACCTAGCAAAATGAGTGGTGCGTCCTCACCGTCGTTGTCGGACGTTCCCAAACATTCGGAGCGTATGAAGTAGGTACAACCGTGTGTGAAGAAGACTTATGATGTGTGAAGAAGGTGACACTGGCATTGTAAAGTAAATGAACAAATTAGTAGAGGAAGCCAGCCCAAGAGAAATGGTCTTGGATACTTGAATGTTAAAAGACTTGTACGAGGATGATAGGGTGAATATTTGTGCGAAATATTTTCTAAAATTTTCAACTTAATGGATTATTAGTTGATATGTATTTTTTGATTTAATCACCGGTAATTGATTTTTTACGAGAAAACTAGAGGAATTAGTCGAGATTAAATTCAAATTTTAATTTTAATCAAAATTAAAACTAAAATACTATAAACTTCAATAACTCGAATAACTCAAATAGTATTATAATATTATAAATATTTACAATTAAAGTTAAACAGAAACTCGAATTACTCTATTCGAATTTTATAAACTTGGTTCGACTCAATTTTTTTTTAAATCAAGTTATAGTTATAAAATATGACTCGTCATCTCGAATAACTAAAAATTTCGACTGAACTCGAATCTGATTAGACTTTACCCTTTAAAAAAATCACACCGAAAGTCGAATGTGATTTTTCTTTAAATATGATTCTATAAGATAGAATGTGGTTAAAAGTTAAAACCAATCCAAATCACATGCTCATCTCTAATTACATATACTATGTTAAAAATGATAAATTTAAGTATAAGATTAGATGAAAACACAAATATCATACGAGAAAAAAATATCAAATAATATATTAAACATTACATATTTCATTTTTTTATAAACTTTAATTCCATTCCTCCAAAATTAAATATTTAACTTATTTAGGTGGTTATGAAAATCAACAGAAATAAAGAAATCCGCCAATAGCCGAACACCGCCTCTGTCTCTGGTCTGGTCCCAGAGCCTGGCCCATTGAAAACGACCAGCGTATCACACTATATATAAACCTACTCCCAAGCGTCAACGGAATACGAGTCGTCGTCTAAAGCTACTCGCAAATTCCGATTCCTTTCTCTTTCGTTTTCTTCAAAGGAATCATTAGCCAACATATAATCCTCAGTAAGGGTGAAAGTCGATTACTCGCCTTGTAATCTTTTCACTCAAGCAATCAGGTCGGTCTCAGACTCTTCCACTCTTGTTTTTTTTTTTTTTAAATTGCTTTTAATTTCGTTTATGATTTCTTAAATATGCTTTCTTTCGATTGTTGTTCTTTTTATCAGTTGAATTTTTTTTGTATTTTTTTTCTATTCAATACTTTATCTCCTTAATGAGATTTTCCGGTGAATGGATTTCTTGACGATCACGGTTGCACATTATTTCCTGTATTTAGATGAAAATCCTCATTCAATTTAATGTTTATTCAGGATAATATCTTGGGTATTTCGAGAATAATTAATTTGAGTTAATCTGAGTAAATGCAGGTGGTTTCAGTTACGTATTTTTGTTTTTATTTCGAATGATCATGGATTGAATAAATTTTATTCTCCAGATAATGTATATAGTTATAATGTATGAGATGTTTGGCTTGATAATCACACTGAATCAATGACCAAATTTTAGATGAGTTAGATGAAATTAAAGGAGTACTAATTAGTAGTTCTTTTCCCCTGTATAAAAGAATAGTTAGAATGTGAATTTATTTGAATTTTGATTAGTATTAGTTGGTGTAAAATATGAATGTTGGTTTAATCTTTGCAGTGAGACTGGCAGCCATGATTGCCAAGCGACGACGGTGCAACGGTCAGACAGGTCATCGTTGTTGTACACAGATAACCTTAAGTTGGCATATGACAAAGAAAAGAAGTCCCATTGTAATTCACAATGAAAATAAAAGGAAGGTCAATGAGGGGCAGTTTACGACCACAAGAACGAAAAATCAGTTGAAAAAACGAAATGTAAACAAAGAGATTGGATACTTGGAGGATGATGAATTTCCCAAGAGGCGTCAGAATGGAATTGACAAGAGAACTACTTCTCTGGATGAAGATGATGTATTAGATGAATGGGATAATGAGGCTATTGCTCTCATGAACATTAAAGCACGGCAAAGACGTAGAAAGTTGTATTGGGATGAGGGTATTGCTATGATGAACATTAAACCACACAAGGAACGCAGAAAGTTAGATGGTGATGAGGAAGCTATTGCTACAAAGGAGATTAATTCACAGAACAAACGCAGAAAGTCGGACAGTGATGAAAATGATATTGCTATTACGAACATTAAAGCGCGGAGCAGAAGCAGAAAGTTGGACAGTGATGAGGAGGCTCTTGCTATGACAAACACTAAATCACAAAACAAATGCAGAAAATTGAACAGAGATGAGGGGAATACTGCTACTGTGAACATTAAAGTGCGGACCAAAAGCAGAAAGTCACATAGTGTAAGGACCAAAAGAAACCCTCTGGAGACTATAGAGAAAAACTGCAATCCCATCGATGCTTCATTGCATTCTTCATCCTCGTCGGGAACATCATCTTCTGTCTCATCACATTTGAAAAGTGATGGTAGCAGCTGTGATGGATGCACAACGAAGAATGTTGAGGTATTGGATTCAATTTTGGTTCTGCAATTGATATATCTTCTATTTTGTGCGTCCTTTTTCATTTTATATTTCACTGACAATTGAGATATCTTGCATCAAGTAGGCCAGGAGAAAAAATTTCAAGTGTCATCAGTGCATGAAAGAAAGAATAACTCTTGTTCCGTGCTTGAAATGTAAAGACAAAGTGTATTGCACCCGTTGTATCAAACAATGGTAACATTTTCAATATAACAGGCTTCAATCTTCTATTATTAATAATCCTAATTCGTTTCTTATTTTTCCCCTGCCGTGACTGTACAGGTATCCCAAGATATCAGAAGAAGAAATTGCAAAGCAGTGCCCATTTTGTAGCAGGAATTGCAACTGCAGCATCTGTTTGCACTCAAGTGGATTAATTAAGGTCTGTTTTTCTCCTTATGTAACTCGAAAATGACTTCTGTAACTCAATCAAGTAAATGTCTTTCATTGAGCTATCTAACCTTGATAATTTTTTCGCTAGCTTGCGCCCATGATATATATCAATGAAACTTCCACCTAATAACTCTCTGACTGCCTAATCTGCAGACGTCAAATAGAGACATCACAGATGAAGAAAAAATTAAGCATTTGCAATACTTGATTGAGTCACTGCTTCCCTTTATGAAAGAAATTTCCAAAATGCAAAAGCAGGAGACAGAGGTTGAGGCCAATATTCAAGGTATGTTTTTCATTCTTTAAAGCTTTGGCTTGCAAGCTTTCTGTGGTGATTCAATTATTTTCTGATAAAAGCTTCTCTATATAGGGCTACCACCTTCTAAAGTCGAAATATCACAGGCTCTTTCTTATGCTAATGAGCGTGTCTATTGGTAAGCAATTCCTATCTTCTGCATAAGAACACGATTTATCATGCGATCGTATTTGTTATTTGCAAATTAATAGAAATTCCTCTCTCCAGACATGATTTTTTTCTCCTTGGAACAGTGACCATTGTGCAACTTCAATCTTTGACCTCCATCGTAGCTGCTCAAAATGTTTATACGAACTCTGTCTTAGTTGCTGCAAAGAAATTCGGGAGGGAAGCCTTTCTAGCCGTAATGATGTTGCCTACCAATACAGGGACAAAGGTTCTGATTATATCCATGGTGGAGACCCTTTGCCAGAAACTTGTCTTCAAGAAACGGTTAACAACCAGGCAGAGTCCTCAATTCTGTGGAAAGCCGACAATGATGGAATTATTTCTTGTCCTCCAAAGGAAATGGGTGGTTGTGGTGATCGCAGATTGGAGCTTAAACGCATCCTTCCAGTGGGGTGGATTTCAAATTTGGAATTAAAGGCAAGGCAAACGTTCAGCATGTGCAGAATGAGACAATGGCTTCAAGATACCTTACATGGGGGTGCTTCTAAAGAAGGATATTTTGAAAATGGCTTATATTCTTCAACTTCAAATGACGATCATGAAGAAGGCCTTTGTAACTTTCGAATGCGTTGGGCTGAAGGCAAACCAATTGTAGCTCCAAATACTCTTACAAATTCATCTGGTTTAAGCTGGGAACCAATGGTTATGTGGCGTGCTTTATGTGAAAATGGGAATTCTGATATGAGTTTGGAGATGTCTGAAGTTAAGGCCATTGATTGTCTAGCAGGCTGTGAGGTGAGTTCCATTATCTCCCAATCATTAGATACATACTCGTGTTGTGTTTGAAGTCTGACTTTGTCAAGTTATGCAGGTTGAGATTAATACCCGACAATTTTTCAAAGGCTATATAGAAGGGAGGACATATGATAACTTATGGCCAGAGATGCTAAAGTTGAAGGACTGGCCACCATCTAATAAGTTCGATGACCTCTTGCCTCGACATTGTGACGAGTTTATAAGCATGTTGCCATTTCAAGAATACACTGATCCCAGGTCTGGCATCCTAAACCTGGCTGTGAAGTTGCCTCCGGGTGTTATCAAACCAGACTTGGGCCCGAAAACATATATTGGTTATGGAATTGCTGAGGATCTTGGAAGAGGGGACTCTGTTACCAAACTTCACTGTGATCTATCAGATGCGGTACGTTGCTAGATTAACTGTTATGTTTTTCACTGTCATGCTGCCACTTTGTTGTAACATCCAGTGACCGTTCTCTTAATTAACTATTGGTACTGAAGGTAAACATTTTGACACATACTGCCGAGGTTGCCTTGAGCGAGGACCAGCTAGCTGCAATGGGAGAGTTGAAATTGAAACATAAAGCACAAGATGAAAAGGAGCGTTTGGAGAGAGGGTGTCTCAATAGAATTCAAGAAAGCTCTGATGTTGCAGAAATCGCAGGCCATAGAGATCACAATTTGGGTGGTAATGAGCGCAACTTATCCAGAGATGAACTCGGAGCTACGATTCCCGAACCCTCCACGAGCGGAGAGGAAACCGGTGGTGGTGCTCTGTGGGACATTTTTAGAAGGGAGGATGTTCCTAAACTGGAAGAATATCTTAGGAAGTACTCCAAGGAATTCAGGCATACCTACTGCTCCCCAGTTGAAAAGGTAAGTCTTTGCTCATAGCGTTACTTTTCAACCATAACGGCATTTGCTTGATGTTCTTGATGGTTTCATTTATGATCAGGTTATCCATCCGATTCACGACCAATCATTTTACCTAACTGCGGAGCACAAAAGAAGATTGAAGGAGGAATTTGGTTAGTACAAGGAATGCATCTTGGTATTCACTAGAGAAACTTTGCAAATACCATGTTCCTAATGTGTCCGTCATGATGTCTAGGAATTGAACCGTGGACATACGAGCAAAACCTCGGAGATGCTGTTTTTATTCCGGCTGGATGTCCACATCAAGTTCGAAATCTTAAGGTATTAATAAAAGCCAACCTTATTTCATGTTGTTGCACAACTCATGTTTGGTGGTCTCATAGCTTGTGTTTCCCAGTCATGCACCAAAGTAGCTGTGGATTTCGTGTCTCCAGAGAATATCAAGGAGTGCCTTCGTTTGACGGAAGAGTTCCGGCAACTACCCAAAAACCACAGAGCTAGAGAAGACAAACTTGAGGTCGGTGCATCCTTCCATTGATGTTTTGAATTGTTATATAGCACCTGCAAAACCTTATACGGTTTTCATGTAAACAGATCAAGAAGATGATAATATATGGAGTCGAACGAGCTGTCAATGAATTGTCGGAACTGATATCGATTCCGAACTGAGCCACCATTGAAGACCGGATTCTCCAACTGCAACTGTGCAACCAGCCTTTCTGATGCTCGACTAATAGATAAAACTTAACCTCCTGTACTTTCACCTCATTTGGAATATTTACCATATATGCCAGTCATTTTTTACTGTACATCTCTTATATCCTCATAAGATACGTGAATTGAGTAAATTAAAATCTTTATAATAAGTTTCTATAATATTCAACTGCACTAGATAATAAGCATATTAAAATATAATATTTATTTTACAATTGTTCTACAAATTATTAATTTCACGGTGCAAGATTAAGAATGCATAATTATTTTACAATATTTTTCTTTAAAAAAAATTGAACTCCACAATCAAAATTATTTAATTCTATGATATTAAGAATGAATAATTATTTGATACCATAATAGTGAATTTTTACAAATAAGATGAAGTAGAGAGGTGTTTATTTTTGTGACATGTAATAGTTTCTTGGCTTTGATAATGAGTCGAAAAATTCTACTGATTATGTATCAAATAATCGTCTATTAAAATTTGATAAACAAAAAAAGTAAAATCAATATAATAAAACAAATTACCAAATCAAATCTATAGCGGCCAAGAATAAGTTATTAGACAAGATACAAATACTATGAATACTATAACTATGTATATTCATTGGTTTATGAATCACTACCTATGAATGCTTATATTGTCAAAACTAATAGTAAAGAAGGCAACGTTGAATCTAGAAATATTTTTTTAGAGTATATATATATTAATTACATATTTTTTTATATAAAGTCAGTATAAATAAAATTTCAAAATAGACATAACCATTAAAATATATAACTAATTGAAAAAAAATCCGAATTTTATGATGAATATTTGTTCAACCTAACTTTAGGGTGCGTTTGGTTTACGAAATGTAAGATTACCAGTGGTTGGTTAAAAGAATAAAAGATTATTGAAATGTATATTTTACCTAATTGTCCTTATTATATATTTATTTTTTTAACAAGTTGAATTCTACTATAATTTTACTATAATTAATTTATATATTTTCTTTAAAAATTTTAAATTCATAAAATTTATATATATTTTTTTACAAAATTAAAAAGATATATAGGTTTAATGATAAATTTGTAATTTAACATTCGTAGAATTTTTATTATTCAACGACATAAGAATGATGTTTTTGAAAAAAAATTAAGGATATTTTAGTCCAAAACACCGATAATCCAACAATACTTAAGAGAAGGGGTAATCACATTCCCAATAATATACACAAAATACCACTGTTGGGAATAAAAGATTATCGAAAAATATGATTACTGATCAATCAAGCGGGGAAATGACATTCCATACCCCTTAAGGGGACATCTGCTCCTGGACAAAATATGATATAGGTGGGAAGGGTCCTACCTCTCTAATTTGATGGTTTAATTATATTTTAGTTATTGACGGTTATGAAATTAAACTCTTAACTCTCTAAAATTTTATAGTTTAATTACTTTTAGAACTAAATTAAGTTAAACTTTAAACTCTAAACCTTAAAATTACTAAAATTAAGCATTGACCCCTGATTTTGTTGAATTAATTATTTTGTAAAATTGTGTTCTTAAAATTTGTGAAATTAATCTAACTCACTTAATTCTTATAATTTAATTATCTTTTAGAATCTTATTTATTTAAAAGTTACGACATTTAGTCTCTTCATACAATGGTGGATGCATGTGTAGTTCAAGATGATCAAGTGTCCTCCTTGAAATCTGAATCTACTTCTAATTTTAAAAAAATTTGTTTTGTTAATATATGTGTCAACCTTAAAAAAATATTTCTAGATCCGCCACTAGATTTATAGTTCAATTTTGGCTTTCTCCTTGACTAGAAAGAGATAGGTAATAAGGAGCAAAATAGGATAGACAAATATATGGAAGCAAAGTTGTTTTAAGTCTCAATATTCTCAGTTAAAATTTAATATCTACACTAAATGGATTAATTTGAAGAGTTTAAAAACTAAATCCTGAATTGAAAAAGATAAATAACATTGGGATTCTAACCTTTTTCTAAAAAGATAAGCAAAATAACTCTACAACCAACAAAGGTAATGAGATCTAAAATCTTTAAATCTACATGTTCATCACAAATAAAATATCTCAATTTCCCTTTCATAAAATTGAAAATTTATAAACTAAAACTCTAAAAGAAAAGAAAGAGTTTAATATAATAGCATACCTTACATCATTCCATCATAAAAAAGGCTCCTCACCTTCTGTCCTCAAGAGATCTAAGACTTTTATACACAAATGACAAAATAAAGAAGGATACAAATGGAGGCCCCTATATATAGGCAAATAAAATTTCTAGGGTTTCAAGATAATTTATTAAAATGTCAAAGTTACCCTTTCTTTTAAGAATTTTACTCCAATGAATATCTCTTAATTAGTCTTGTAGTAGGAGTTTGATTTGGTTTGAGATTAATTTACTATTTTATTTTATTTTATTAATGAAATATGTGTGTTTTGATTTAATTTGATTCTTTAAAATATATTTTTGAAAGGGTCAAATTTAAATTTTTTATTAATTTTTTTAGATCAAGATTGGATTTAGATAAAATTTATATATTCACTAAAATATCTTTTTTTTTTCTCAGCAAGGATTTATTTATTATAATGAGATAATTTCTAGATTGTGTCTCGTTAAAAATCTCCCTAAAGTTATATGGAGGAAAAGAGTATCATAACTAGGGAAACAAAACAATTCCAATCGATACATCACCCGATGATCCTCTAACTTAGAGTCATAACAACACAACCAACAAAATCACACCAAAGAAGAAAAACATATAGAACAATACTATAAACCTACCACCGAGCTTTAAATTTTTTCTCTCGCCAGCCATACCTTTGCTAGGTAATCAGCCAAGCTGTTTTGATATCTTGGCACATATTTAAAGACAACATTCGAAATCGCTCGAGATAATCTGTCTATTTCATCGAAAATGTCCCACCATTTTCATGGTCTCAGTAACGGTGAAACAACCCAATTTAAAACCACTTGAGAGTATGGCTCGACAATTAAAGATGCTTTACCCAACCATTCTGTTTCCATGAAAATTTGCAGAGTTGTTTTGGTTGCCATCGCTTCTGCGAGTTCAGGACCCTTGGCTGAAACTGGACTTGAGAACAATGCTCAAACTTCACCAACAAAGGTTCTTAATACCCCTTCACATCAAGCGACAAAATGGTTAAAAGTCCCGTCCACATTAAATTTAACTGTACCAGCAGGAGGAGGAATCCATTCAGTCGAGACGTTATTGCTGCTAGACGGAGTTATGCTTTCCATTCCCAAAAATATCATTTAGAGCTTTGAGAGATTTCTCGTATTTGAAAGGTTTTGTTTATTCAAAAATTTGAATCGTGAGAAGCAATATTTTGAGAAGATAAAAAACATACTTCAAAATTAACTTCATCAAATAACATTGGATGATATCAGAAAATTAACTTCATCAAATAACATTGGATGATATCAGAATATTAGCATGTCGAATGTTTAGAGGAATTTTTGTCGATTTTAAGTGAATTTTATAAAAACCAATCCAATGAGAAGAAAAATTAGTAGAACATGAACATTATGATATCGATCTTGTCGCGAATGGTGACCAATGATGTATAACGATTGTTACCAATGACTGTCGGAAAAAATTAGTGCTTAAAATTGAATATTTTTAAAGTCTAATAACAAAATCGATACACCTTTAAAGTTTAGTGCTTAGAAATGACATCGTTTTGGACATTAATAGTCGCACCAAAATGATATAGTTTTGTCCATGTCATCACAGTGATAAGATTCTCCATGCCACCGAGCGTTAAAATTTAAAGATTCAATAGTATAATTGAATCAAAATCAAAATTCAATACTATAATTAAAGCAATTGAAAGTTCATTAGTATATGATATAGTTCATTATTATATTTTGTGTTAGCATAATGAAAATCAACCTATCATGGTCCATAGATAGTATGTAAGTTTTTCTTTTCTTGAAAAGACTTATATTTATACTTATGCACACGTATAGACTACGTTGTTGTTCGAATTCGAATCATTAAAGAACATATTATCTTTCATCACTAGTACCACTCCAAGAATTAGTTAACATGTACGTTGAATCTCAATAGTTGGTGTATTTTGAAGGTATTTGTGGTTGATTTTAGTCACAAGATTTTATATTCCCTGCTGTACAGAGAGGCATGACAGATTGATAAAATTGAAGTGTCTTTTCGAGTGGTTTGCAAAGGGTTCACATGGGAATGTGAAGAGTTAGAGGTGCCAAAACGTGAGTATTTGTGTGCAAGAGACTTAAATCAATGAGGCTTAAAAGGGTTCAAGTCCCTCACAGGAAAATACTCTTTTATGTATTATAAAGAACAATGATAAGCAATGGGACGCAAATAATAAAAATACGCATTTTTTGGTATTGAGAAACATTAGGGTTTTAAATTACTGTCCAAAAACGTGATAGCGCCCGCAAAATAACGGTAGTGCCGCCGTTCGAATTACCCGCTATACCCGTACTAGCGTCCAATAGTGTCCGTTACGGCCGCAATAGTGTCCGTTGTAGCCACAATCGCGATAAACACGAAATGGCCAAAAACGCGACCGTGATTTTGAAATTCTGAGAACCATCTCAAAAGGCTTTCCTCTGATCCGTCTTGTATTGTTTGTGGTGCAGCTGAGGAAACAAGCTCACATATTCTTCGAGCCAAATTACTCAATGAAGATGTTAACAAAGGAGCAGCCAAGTAAATGATTGAAACCATTATAACTGTGTAATGGAACACGTGTAAAAAAGAAGCCAAATACATTGGGTGAATTCATGCCTTTTGACCTTTTTTTGTTACGTTCTCGTTTTAAGGTTTAGCCATGACTAAATCTAAATTGACTCGGATCATATATCTGGCTTTAATAGGTGAGTATTCCAGTGGAGATTTTCTGCATGCACAAGAACTCGAACTTAATACCTTACTTAAGCAATATCAAATTGCTTACCATTTGAACCAGACTTGTTGGTTTTTGAACTAATTATTTAGTTTTATAAGAAGTGTAACACAATGAGAAAAACACTTTCTTCTTATTCTTTATTTCTCTCTAATTTTGTATCTCATATTGTAGAATAGTTCATATCATTGGTGTTACTGATGTTGAAAGTCAAAAAAAGGGGGCAATGCACCGATTTATAATTTTCAACAATTGGGGCACCAAATGAAATGGTCAAAAAGGGGATGTTTTTGTTGAAATTTTGGTAATGGGAAAATTGTAAATTTAGTCTCTATACTTTAATATATTTATAAGATTGGTCCTTAAGTTTCAACTATAAATACCCTAACACATTTAGCTTCAAAACCATCCCAAATCATTATAGCTTTCTCCCAATACTAAAGAATTTAGAGAGTTTTCTTGAGAGTTGTTTTCTCATTTTTATCAAGAGAGGATTGTTATTGTTTTCTCCTTGTTAGATCGAAAGAAGTTGTAATTCATATTTTTCTCATAGTGAAATTCTTCTACCGTTGCCCGTGGTTTTTACCTTATATTATTTAGGTATTAAATTATCAGTTGCGATTTTGTTCTATCCGATAGCCGTATTCCGCAATAATTGGTATCAAGAGCCAGATTAGAGTGTGTAATATCTACTTATTGTCTTTGTGGTTGACACTAAAAGGTAGATCCTCCAACATAAGAAAGTAAGAAGGTATTACCCATTCTTTGAAGGTTCCAGAGAACTATTCACGATAGTGAAATAGTGAGAGCTATCCGTAATAGAAGCTATGGCAACGAAATTTGATATTAAAAAGTTCAATGGGAGAAATTTCTAATTGTGGAAATTGAAGATGAATGTCATCCTGATGAAAGACGGTTGTCTAGCGGCTATAAGTGAAAGGCTGGTAAATTTCACAGATGACAGCAAATGGAACGAGATAAACGAGAATGCTACGACAAACTTTCATCTAACATTAGCAGATGAAGTATTGACAAGAATTGAGGAGAAGAAAACAGTTAAGGAGATATGAGATAAAAAAAAATCCAGGAAATGTAAATTCTTGGGATATGCTGATGGTGTAAAGGGGTATCGCTTGTGGGATCCTACTGCCCGCAAAGTAATCATTAGGAGAGATGTTATCTTTGTAGAAGATAAACTAAAAAGAAAAGAAGAAGATAGTAGCGCTGAAAAGTCAGAGACTACACATATACATGTGGAAAAAGAGGTTGAACAAGGAGATTCTTCTAAAGCAGAACCAGCACATGATGAACAGGAACCAGAGAGTTCTGAAGCTCCAACAACTCGTCAATCAGATCATGTGAGAAGATGTCTCAATTGGCACTCAGATTATGTTATAGAATGAAATATTACATACTGTTTTTTAACAGATGACGGTGAGCCATCAACATACCAGGCGCCAATAAACAACTCAGATGTTTCACAGTGGATGATGGCGATGCAAGAAGAAATTGAAGCCCTTCATAAAAATAATACATGGGACCTTGTGCCACTACCACAAGGAATGAAGCCAATTGGTAACAAATGGGTCTTCAAAATCAAGAGAAATGGTAACGATCAAGTTGAGAGGTATCATGCAAGACTGGTGGTCAAAGGATATGCTCAAAAAGAAGGTATTAATTTCAATGAAATCTTTTATCCTATGGTTCGACTAATAACAATTCGAGTAGTCTTGGCAATGTGTGCTACATTGAACTTACATCTAGAGCAGTTCGATGTTAAAACAACGTTTATTCATGGAAATCTTGAAGAATAGATTTATATGCTCCAACCTGAACGTTTTGAAGAAAAAGAAAAGAAGAACTTGGTTTGCAGGTTGAACAAATCTCTGTACGGTCTAAAGCAGGTTGAAGAATAGATTCATTATGTGCCTTGGATACAACATACTTAATGCAGACCCTTGTGCTTATTTCAAGAGGTTTGGTGATAACGATTTTGTTATATTGTTGTTGTATGTGGATGACATATTGGTTGTAGGACCCAACAAATATCATATTGAAGAATTGAAGGCACAACTGGCTAGGGAATTTGAAATGAAGGACTTGGGATCAGGAAACAAGATTTTAGGGATGCAAATTCACCGAGACAGAAGTAATAGGAAGATTTGGCTTTCACAAAAGAATTACTTGAAGAAGATCTTGTCACGATTTAACATGCAAGATTGTAAGCCAATTTCTACCCCTCTTCCTATTAACTTCAAATTATCCTCCAGTATGAGTCCTAGTAGTGAAAAAGAGAGGATGAAGATGTCTCGAGTACCGTATACATTGGCAGTGGAAAGTTTAATGTTCGCTATGATATGCACAAGACCAGACATTGCACAAGCAATGGGAGTGATTAGTCTGTACATGGTGAATCCAGACAAAGAGCATTGGAATACAACAAAGAGGTACAATGTAGAAAGAATGGTCTGAAGATATGATTGTTCCAATCAAATCTTCAAATGGGAGATTGTTGAAAGTAAAAAAAAAAGGGGGCAATGCACCGAATGACAATTTTCAACAATTAGAGCACCGAATGAAATGGTCAAAAAGGGGTTGTTTTTTGTTAAAATTTTTGGTCATTGGAAAATTGAAAATTTAGTCTCTATACTTTGGGGTATTTACAAGATTAGTCTTTAAGCTTCAACTATAAATACCCTAACCCATTTAGTTTCAAAATCATCCCAAATCATTCTAGTTTTCTCCTAATACTAGAGAATTTAGAGAGTTTTCTTGAGAGTTGTTTTCTCCTTTTTATCAAGAGAGAATTATTATTGTTTTCTCCTTGTTAGATCGAGAGAAGTTGTAATTCCTATTTTCTCATAGTGAAATTCTTCTACCGTTGCCCGTGGTTTTTACTCTATATTATTTAGGGGTTTTCACGTAAAATTTGTGTCTTCTTTATCTTCATTTTTATTTTTTCAAATTATCAGTTGCGATTTTTCTCTATCCGATAGTCGTATTCTGCAACAACTGAGCTATGATGAATGAAACAAAGGCCATTAAAATTTTACAGGAGATTGTCGCTCGCCATGAACATTTGTTGGAATCTTTTGAAGCTCATGTCGAGAAGAAGAAGCAAGCAAATGAAAAGAATCATAAGCTACTTCAAGATGTAATGCATCAAATAACTGCAATTTCAATGCAGTTATAATTAACGTTCAAGGAACACTCCGAAATTGATGGATCGGAGAAAGTTGAGCCTAAATAAAATGACTTAAGCACAAATGCTCAGTCTTGTTCAATGAATTGTCACCATTAATGGATAATGAAATTGCAGATCCAATGATTCAGGATAGTGAAAGAGTTAATTTTCAGATTGATACAACAACGATCATAGGTTCATCCAAACCTATCAAGATATCAGAACACCATGTCGAAAATAAAGCTAGTCAAGCACAAGAGTGATTATCGATTAAGATTCTGAACAAAGAGTGATTATTGATTAAGATTCCGAACAAACTCTTGATAATTACAGAAAATCACCTCAGTGAAAGTAAGTGAGTCCAAATTCGATTTTCCATTTTTGAATATTCAACATTAAGCTACTTGATATTATATGTGCCGCATGTTGTTGCCTGATGGTAGATACAAATCACAGCCTAAAAAGAATGAATATAAGAGATTATCTATTAGATATTTCATGTTCTTACTTAGTCACGGTGGAGTAAATTTTAAAGGGATTCATTCATTGGTGTTTACACATGAAAAGGTATTGATTAAGTTTGATTATTCTTATAAGTTCAGGCTTTTTCTAATGGGAAAGTGTATGACTATATTCTTTATAAGTTTTGAAGGCAATGATGTTAGCTTTGTTTTGAAGTGGTTCCTTCTTGAGTGGCTGCAACTAGATATTTGTGGGAGTTTTGATGTTTTTCCTGCTGTGGTAATTAATATAGTTAGAAGTGATGGGGTCATTGAACTTGGAAAAGTTGTTGGGACAGTTGTAGATCCGAACAAGGAGGATGTTTGGCATTATACAAGCATAACAAACGTCTTTGTTTTTGTCAACTTAAACCCATATCGGCAGTAGATGAGTTACAAGGTTTCTGGTCCTTGTTTTAGCTAAGGTTAGAAGCAAGGTTGATTTTCTCATGGATGATGTTTTAGCTATGGAGAATGATGGGATTCAAATCAGATTCGATATCAGAGGAGAGTCTGGGACTTTTGCTGCTAGAATGGCCAAGAGGAATGTCACTGTCATAACTAACACCTTGAATCTCGATGCACCGCATAGAGAATTCATTGTTGCAAGAGGACTTTTCCCTTTGTTTTTGAGCTTGAACCAAGGGTTCCCTTTCTATAATAATGCTTTCTAAGGGCCGACGGCTTGCTTTGGTTAGATAGTTTTTATTGTGCTGACGATAAAAAGAAGAGAGATTTAACTCGTTTGATCGAAAGATTCAGGTACAAGAAACTCAAATCTACATTCTCTAAACAAGTGGAGCCCAACACAATAGACTGCATCATAATTTGTAAGACCGACTTCAAGTCTGTAGCAAGAAAATTCATGACCATAAGCTACTGCTAGAAGTATATCGCCAGAAATACCTGCATGGACCATTTGTGCAATTATATCCTTGTTGCCAAATCGTGTAACAAAATGATGTTTTGGGTGTTGTACTTGTTCTTTTTCGAAGAGCCATTCATGTTTTGGGGTGTTGTTACGAACAAGGGATCATAGGAGCAGCCAAGTAAACAATTAAAACTATTACAATTGTGTAAAGGAACACGTATCAAGAAGGAGCCAAATACATTGGGTGAATTCATGCCCTTTGATTTAGTTGTTCAGCTTTATATAGAGGAGGAGCATAACAGAATGGGATAGAAAAAATTGTTATCAGAACACTCTCGTTTTATTCTTTCTTCTACGTATCTTTTTCTCTCTCTGTTTTCTCTACTTTTTTATCTGAAATTGCAGAATAGTTCATAACAGAAGACCACCTCGAGTCCTTCTCTGTGCCCTTATGCGACCGGTTATATATTCGAACATTAAATCGACGAGCATAATGGCGGTGACATATCTTGAGGTATTCTTTTTTCTTCTCTTATTTGTCATATTTGAAAGTATAAACGATTTTAGTTTTAACAACAATGCAGGTCAATTTCGATCAGAATTTTAATTATTCTAAAAATCTAGAAACTGATCACTCAATGGCAAAAAGAGAAGTCAATGACCCTAGGCTCGTGCAACCATGTTCTATGTAGCAACGAAGCATATCTTACCATGCAAAACTTACCTAAAATATACTTACACACACAAATATATTATATAATATTGTCCTTAAATCGTGTCTGCCACCAAGTACTCAACTCTCCTATAAGAGTTCTTTAATTTTCTGTTCCAACTTCATGAACAACTTAAGCCATGGCTTCCCTTGCCTCTATCGTATTGGTTTCATTTCTTTTAGTAGGAGCTCCCCGTCGCATGTAGGGATGCGTGGAGGCTCCGACGGAGATGCGATCAGCGTTTTTGCGTCCTCAAATATTTGGATTGATCATTGCTATCTCATGCGTTCTAGGGATGGTCTTATCGATGTGATTCATGCTTCAACTACCGTCACGATCTCTAATAACTATTTCTCTCAACATGATAAAGTCAGCATTAAAGCTTATGAGTTTTACATTGTAATGTTTAGTTTATCCAATTCATTATGTCCAAATATTGCAGATGATGCTGTTAGGACACAGAGACACGTTCACTGCTGACAAAGTCATGAAAGTTACGATAGTTTTTAACCGATTCGGCGAGGGACTTATTGAGAGGATGCCGAGGTAAAGAAGACGACGGAAGTTTATGTTAGTCTCTGACTATAATCATGGTAAATTGATCTCATTACATATATTATTCGGTGCCGTGGCAGGGTCAGGATAGGATATGCACATGTTGCTAACAGCAGATACGATGAATGGAAGATGTATGCAATAGGCGGCAGTGCAAATCCGACCATTTTCAGCGAGGGGAACTACTTTGTGGCGCCCGATAATCCTAGCAACAAACAGGTTACCAAGAGAGAAGCAAGCAATTGGCAAAATTGGAGATGGCAGTCGTCAAAGGATGTCTTTACGAATGGTGCGTATTTCGTTTCGTCTGGCTACGGAAGTTGTGCTCCTCTTTATACTTGGGCTCAATCCTTCACTACCGCCCCAGGATACATGGTCCCTGTTTTAACATCAAATGCTGGCCCTTTACGTTGTGTCGTTGGAAAACCATGCTAAGTTTTCGATTTATGATCGGCAATGGGGATGATGTACCTTGTGCAGCAAGGCGGACATTGTTTTCCTTCTTGGTTTCTCTTGCTTCGCTTGTCTTTGTTTTTGTGTTATTTACAGTATAAAATACTGGTAACAAATTGATTACAGGAGCTTTGGCTCTCACTTCCCTAGAGAACCAAATACCGATGCTCATACCTATCGCTCCGGCAGCAGAAACTGCGATTGCGGTCCCTGATACAATAAGAAACCGTTAACTAAAGGCTTAAACTTCCGATTTAAGATATACATGTTCATCATCAGCATTGTTGACACAAAAAGCTAAACGAAACTATAGAATTTTCACCTGGTACGACTCCGACCTTCCGGTGCTCAGAAATGTCACGATCTGCATAGCAGATAAAGCACAACTTAAGATATAGGCTGATATGAATATTAACTCTTATAAATCTAAACATATATCTATACAATAGGAGGTAACATTTGCCTCCTTAAGAGATTCTGTGTTTGTGTATGGAATCCGCATGTTCCAGCTCTCTTGGATGGCATTACATTACAGGCAATGTGTTGGTACCGGAACATCGAAATCCACCCGGCGGATTCCAATACACACTAGTTTATGAAAATTTAAAGATTTAAACAAAAAAGAAGTTTCCCAAGTCTATAACACTAATACACCATGAAAATGAAGCCATGTACGCATTTAGATCCGTACATAAAAAGTCCCTTTAATGAGAAGTAAGAAAGCAATAAAAAGATGGGGTAAGGATTGGTTCACATGGAAGCATGTGGGGGAGTTTTAATTAACATAAGATTGTACTAGCACGGTTGCATGATGTACGGTGCGACCCATAAAGTTTCACGGACGGAAGTTCTCCAACTAACCCTACAAACTGGTTAAATTTTAATTTTCATCCCTTATATTTGAGATTTAATCTTTTTATTTTTTATTTGATATAGTTTGATCATTTTACTTTTTTCAAATTCTTTATTAACTACTCTACTATCATACCATTAGTATATTAATGTACAAGTTTTTGATATAATATTTGAATTATCCAAATCTTTTCTCACTCGTAAATTAAAGATTGCGTATTTAAGCTTGTTTGAGCTCAAATCCTCGTTTGCAGAGGACTAAAACACAATTAGACCTAAAAACTCACACAAGATGGGATGTTTTAAATTTTAATTAGCATGAAGATGACAATCAAGTGATGCACGGAAAGTCAAACAAACGTATCCGAGTTGTCCATTGAAATAATTGCACCTCACTCGCAACTTCAACGAAACTACAACCCGTCATCTTCTTCATTGAATCAAATTTGACCCAATCAAGCATTATTTCCATCAACTTTTTTTTCCTTGTATTCAATGCAGACGTCGTTGCCTTGAAGTCTCCTACTTAAAAATCTACCGTTTCTTTATATACGTATAAGTTACGTATCAAAGTATAGTAGCCGTATTTTCTTGACTGATTTATGCAGGATATCCCACACCCTCGAGAAAGATACCTTTCGTTTTCTTGTGGGAAAATTGTAATTGTATATGTTTACACAACGGATCAAAGGTTAGAGAAGCTTAGGGACTAATAGTGTAATTTATCCTTTAAAAACAGAAGGAAATGTATGTGGTTGGAGTAGGAAATTATGTTTTTTTTTTGTGTATTTACTCGAAGAACTGAACTGAATTATTCAAGATCTAAACAAAAAGAATGACGTTTGTGTGTGTTCTAACCCTCCTCCCCACAACAAAGTACAAAAAATATAAACATGTAGTCTCCTTTTCAACAGTTAAAGAAAGGTGTCTCTAAGATCTTAATTATTGTCTATTGTTTGATGTGTTGTTGTTGTTGTTGGAAGTGTTGCTGCTGCTATTCGGGCGAGCACCACCGATGATGGATGTGATGGCAGCCGCGAGAGCCGCCGTGAAGCTAGGATCGTTGGTGATGGCAGCTGTGGCGGCGCTAACCGTGTCGGCCAACGAAGGCTGTTGAGGCTGCTGCAGCTGCAATTGTGGGTATGGGACTTGGTGTTGCTGGCCTAATTGTGAAAACCCCATTTCTTGTGACAACTGAAGGCCTGAGAATTTTGACTGATTATACAATGGCTGCCCAAAAACTTGAGGCAAATTTTGGGGTTGGCCGGGGAAAGGGACTTGGAATTGCGGAGGCGGCTGTGGCTGCGGTGGCGGTGGGCTTCGGAATTGTAGAGGGTTCGGTGAATGTGTGAGGTCCAATGTCACGGTGGAGAGCGGTGCCGAGGCCGATATGGTTGCCATGCTTGGGGAGCATGGGAGGATTGCCCTGGCAAGCAAGTTTTGGTTCATGATACCATCAGCACTTGGCATTGAACCTGAAAGCAACATGCTAGCGGCTGCTGCCGTCGTTGAAGCCATTGCCATCGCAGCAGGCGGCAATGGGTGATTGTGGTTGCCCTCGTATGTTGTTATCAAGATTGTTCTATCATCCGCGCAGCGTTGAACCTGAGATTAATCATAAAAAAAAAAGTTAGCTTCAGGTCATGAAATCTAGATAACATCAAAACGGAACATGAACAAAAAAGTGTTAATTCCAATAGTTGTCCTCAAACTATGGCTTCAAATTCTAAATTAGTCCTTTGAAACCTGAAAGTGGTAGAAATATTTTTTCACATCCTTTCAATTAGTCCTAACCTTTATAATAGTTTAATTATGTCTAATTTAGAATTTGAGCCAACATTTAAGGACGTTTTACACAATTAACCCTTAAAATCAACAAGAGGAAGATTGATACTTGTTTCCGGACAGGACAACCAACAGCCATTGTGCATCGGTAATAAGCTCGAGGACAAGGATTTCCTTTAGCCATCTTTTGCCCATATTTTCTCCATTGGCATCCATCGGTGATCTGTGTAGCAAATTAATAATCAATTAGTTTGTCAACAATGTACAATTTCAAAGTTAAAAAAGTGATTAAAGCATGGTATAACGCATACCATGGGAGCTTCCGATCGAGCTCGAACTGAAACACGGGCTTTCCTCATGGTGGCCTCAACGGATTGATCAATCGGTTTCCCGGAATTCAGCTTCGGGAGTTTGCTATTAGGTCCCCAGCTCTCGGATTCCGTGCTCTCTTCTCTGCCGATTCTTTTTTCCACGTTGTTTTGAGGAGTCCCCGAACGTGTTCTTTCTTCTGACGACGAATGAGTCGACACCATCTCGGGTGCTTCGGCTCCACCGGAGGGGCGTACATCTATTATTTTCAAAGGCATTATCTCTTCACCTTGTTTGTTCTCTTCGGATTTCACTTCTTGGACCTGAAATTCCATGCAAGGAACACATTTTCTATCAGCTACCGAGTTCGATAATCTATTCGATCGGTTTCGAATCTAATCGAGATATAATAACCTCATGTTGTTCTTGGGTGGTTTCGGTTTCTCGGTTTCTTTGCTGTTGCATTAAGCTGACAAGGTGCATCTGGAGAGCAGTGTAATTGTTGTTGACATGACTCAGCATATCTTTAAGCTTTTGGTTTTCAGCATTCGCGCGTTTCAACTCCACTTGTAATTGCACCAGCTGAAACAAAACAAAATTATTCAGTTTGTCGAAAAATAATAAATGGTTTAATTATTCTCTTACTCCTATGCTCTTCCAACTTTTAAAATTTAATCCCTCTCTGGATAAAACATAAAAAACAGTGTTTTCAGATGGACTTGTTAAACTTTTAAATCAGTAGAGAGATTAAAATCTCCCAAGTAAAAGCAGGATTAATTTTTAAAAGTTCAAAGAATACAGTGGCTAAATAAAAATTCGACAAGATAAAATGAATTTTCAGTTTTAACAGTATCGTCCTCTTACTTCATCCTTGGCTCTCCTATCTTCCCTATCCGACGGGACTCCGTCGTCAACAGTTGACTGATCACTTCCGGCCGTCAGAAGAAGCAACCCAGTCTAGATTTAGGAGAAAAAAAATCATAATTAATTATAATTAAGGTAAAAAGAAAGAAAAATCTGAACAATATCTCCTCTTACATTTACATCTAAATCGGAGGCAGGAGCGGGTTCGCCGTGTTCCTTCTTAACACAATCATCGTCGATCACCCTGGATTTCTTATCGGAGAAAAAGTCAACCTCATCGACGGGTAGTCGCGTATCATCCGACGGCGATGACGAAGAAGCGGAGGTTCCCCGGCGGTCGTCTCTCGATCCGGTGAGGCTAACCGGGAACTGAAACATGTCTCGTTGATGGTTCAACCTGAAGAAAGCACCTGTGTTGGAACTTGTTTTGGTCGAGAAGAAATTATTAGTAACTGGATCGGATTCAAGGGTCAGACCCCATCCTTTGTCCATAAATTAAACAAAAAGATTTTGCTTTTACGGAAGAGCTGGAAGAAGACACGAGAGAGAAATTAGCTTGGAAAATTATGGAACAAATTATGTGAAATCTGTGAAGTCTTGAAACGGTGCAATGGGGTCGCCTATAAAAAGGGTTTGGAAATCGGAAACGTAGACCAAGGTTTTTCTTTTCAATTAGTTTGATTTATATTTGGAAAAAGTACACAAGAGCTCTCTAAATTATGCTCAAATAATTTTTTTAGGTCACTGAACTTTTGATGTTAGGGATGACAATGGATTAAATTGGATCAGATTTTCGATCAACTCAACCCAAGAATCATATCCCCTTCACCTGAACTCGACCCAAGTTTAGAAATGTCTCATTTAATCAGTTACTCATAGTTTTGAGGTAAAAACTCGTATTCGATTTGACATATATATAATTTATTATATTTATAAAAAAATAAGGTTTTAATTATTATATATATATATATATATATATATATATATAAATAGATGAGTATTTTAGAAATTATCCTTAAATATGTAGTAGGAAAATTATATTATTGTCTTGGATCAGATTAGATCAAAGATTTTTCACCTTAACCGCAAACTCAATCCTTCCCGAACTTGATTCTTTTTTTAAAAAACTATCTTACTGAATTCAAACCTATCAAATTTGGATTGAATCGCCGTCACTATAAAACGGTCATTAAAATTTATAAACTTTTTCACTTATTATAATATTCGAGTGTTCATTTCGTAATAGTTTGATAAATTTAATGATTATTTGTTAAGTTTTGAAAGTTTAGTAATCACAAAATAATTTAAATATATTTTACTGACTTATTTTGCAATTTACCCTTTGATTTTATCAGTCGTCTATGATTTTGGATTTTGTAGCCGACGTCAGAAGGTGCGTCATGTTTCCAGCTGGATTTTGACTTTTTTTTTCCTTTCGCTTTCCCCTTATGGAAACTAAAGCAAACTACCCTTTTGCCCCGTCCCATTGTTCTCATCCAAGAACAGACTAAATTTCTAAGTTGATTGGTGGCTGTGATTTTATCTTAGATCGATCTACACTTCTAGTCCCTATATTTAAATTCCGGATCTAATTAGTATACGCTTTCTTTTAATGTTATTTTTTCATTTATATTGTTTAAATTTGAGATATTATATGATATCATAATAAATATATTTAGTTGGTTGACCAAATAATTTATCTATATTTCTTATATTTTTTTATATCACGAGTTCTAAAATCTATACTCACTCGAACATTTGTCTTTTTTCCTCATGAGTCTTTCTTTCTTTCTTCTAGAGTCCATTATTTTTCTTTCATTTAAATAGGATTAAGATTAAATCAATAATTTATTAAGAAAATATCATAGTTCTTATAATTCAATTAAAAATATATTGATTAATTATTATATTTTATTAGACATCATTTGATATATTTGTTTATGTAATACTATTAATTAATTTAAATAATCTATACTATTAATTGTTCTATTTGAAATGTGGATGTGGATTTTTTTCTTAATACCATTGCTTTGAATTCATCATGTTAATATATTTTTTGAGATAAAAGTTTTAAATCAAATGATGAATGTGTCACGTTCGACGAGCATCGATTAATATCATTAATGATAAACATCATTAATTTAATTTATAAAAAATTTAAATTTCTAAAAGACTCCATATAAATTATAAATTAGTGAAAATTTTAAAGGTACAATATTTAAAATACAGGGTAAATTATACTAGTGACCATTTAACAATTGTCTCTTTTTATTTTGATCATTATGTTTGAAAATTTTGTCAATCAAGTCACTCAACTATTTAAATGCATTCAATTAAGTCATTTGTCGTTAATATTTAACGGAGAAGTTGATGTGACAGTTAAAATATATGGTGTAATTACATATTTGGTCAGTGTTACTTATATATTCTATCATTTTGGTCCTGATATAAATAAATTAAAATAAATTTAACCCTCAAATCAAATAGTGTCATGTGTCGAAAGAAAATTTTGGATGCTTAAATGATATTGAGGGGAATTGAACATGAGATTCTTGGGTTGAAGAAGTAAGGCTCAACCATTGAGCTGAAGTAGTTAATTAGTTCAATTTTTTATTATTATATTAACTTAAAAATATATTTTATTTTAACTACAAAAATATATTTTATTTTTATCTTAAATTTAAAATATAATATCCAAAAAGCATACTAGGCCTTCTACAAAGATTATATACAACATTCCTAAGAGGAAAGAGTTACAACCCCCAATCTATACAAAGATTATGATTTACGATATCACATCTAACATCCTTTTTATACACCTTAATACAAACAGTCTCATTTATAGTATCATCAATCTCACTAGCATTCCTCCTAACATCCCTAAAATATAAATATTTAAGTTAAGATAAGAATAAATTATAGTTTTAATTTAAGATAAGGTTAAAATATATGTTTTAGATTAAAATAAGAATAAAATATATTTTTAGGTTACAAAAAGAATAAAACATATTTAATAAGTTAAGATAAAAAATATTTTTTAATGTTAAGATGTAAAATTAATTTATTATGTGAATTTAAGTTATGATGTATAAAATATTAAGAATTTAAGTTTACACTAATATATAATAATAATACATGTAGTCAAATCTAAACCAAATAATTACTTTGGATCAATGGTTGAGACATGCTTCTTTAACTTAGGAACCCAACTTTGATTCCCTTCGGCGTCATTTAAGCACCAAAAGTTTTATTTCCTCTAAAAGGTAACACATGTCACCCTCTACTTGGTGAAAATATATATTAAATTAAAATAAATTCAATCATCCAATCGGATGGTGACACATGTTATTACACTTGACACTAGTGACACGTGATATTATTTGATTTGAGGGTTAAGTTTATTTTAAATTATTAAATTAAGACTAAATTGATAGAATATATAAGTAACAATGAACAAATGTGTAATTATATCAAATATTTTAACTGTCACATCAGCTTCTCCGTTAAATATTAATAGCAAGTGGCTTAATTGAATGTATTTAAATAGTTGAGTGACTTGATTGATAAAATTTCAAAAATTATGGTCAAAATGAAAAGGCGAAATAATTAAGTAATCATTGGTATAATTTACCTTTTATTTTAAATAATTTACATTTAAACTTTTAAATAATTCATAATTATACGATCAACTCTTTAAAATTTTAATTTTTATAAAATTAAATTAATGGTACTCATTGTTAGTGGTACTCAACTGTACTCGTTAAATGTTATAAAAATTTTATAAATTAAAATATAATAATTAAATGGAAAAATATAATTAAATGTAATTTTATAAATATTTTTAATGTCTAAATTTATGTAATGATATTTAGGAAAATAATTTAGGGTAAACTACAAGTTTAGTACCACAACTATTATTTTTATCCCATTATGGTCATCAAATTATTCCTTTTATAAAATCATACATAATATTTAGTTTTGGTTTTATTTTTATCACCCATAGTTAAAAAAATAATAGTGATGATGACGTTTTATCATAAGATAATGTCATGTTATCTTTAAAAATATTAAATAATATCACGTCAATAATTCTATTATTTTTTTAACTGTATGTAATCTTAAATATGGTTTTGAAAAAATAGTTAGGTGATTAAAATATAATAAAAATAATAGTCGGTACTAAATGTATAGTTTACGCAATAATTTATCCGCCGCCCGAAGGGTGCGGCGTGCTCCACGTGATTTTTTTTAAAAAAGGGAGGAAAAAAAAACAAAATAGATGGAAAGCCTAGTCAATGAATTTGACTGGCCCGGCTCTCTTATGCGACCGGTGACCGGGTGTCGGCAGTGTCTTGTTCTTTCCTTGGCCCCACGTTAGCTTCCCACTCCCACGTCTTGATATTATTATACCTACTTAAGCTAGCTCATTTTAAACATATTTTATATATTAAAAAATTATATAAAATTCAGTCAAAGGTTAAAGAGTCTACAATCAAAATGTTTGAACAAGTTACATGACTTTATCTTTATGTAATTGGATGATGTAACTTACCCTTGAAGGATGATTACTCTAATGTTGTTAGATAAATGAATTTGGGTTATTTCGTCGGACATCCCCCTAATATAGTTCATATTTTAAATTGATCTTAAAAATATGTATTCTATCAACTATGTCATTCTTTTAGTCTAAATATATTTCTGGGCATTAAATTCTAACTCATATTTGGGTCAATTGCAAGAACAACTCATATCTAACATGTTAAACGAATAGATAGTGTCAATAAATTTTACTAAGTTGTTTATTGAAGTAACACATCAAATTCAAGATGTTTATGTGATATGTGCATATTAAATATGCAAATTTTGATTCATATGTTCTAAAAAATATTATATTTCGGATCGTGCTAGCAACACTTAAACTTACCATTAGGCTGTCAGAATTAAGAACTTGATTGACTAGTCCTTGATACTTTTGAGAATTCAACTATAATATTTTAAATCCGAGACTTATCTAAAACACAAATCATATTTTAAGGAGTATAGTGCAATTAACCCAAAGAAATTAAATGAATAATTATATTTTAAGATGCCAACAAGTTAATCTATTTATGGATTTGATAAATTTGATGAGAATTTTCTTTGATTAAAATATTTGAATAAAATATCAGAAGTTGAGGATTTTGACAATTAGGTAATTCAAGGGGTTATATATTTATGTATTTTGTGTGGTATAACAAGTTGGCTAGTTGCATTGTCAACTTCACAACAAGCAAATTAAAGTCCTTGTGAAAGCTCAAGGGAGTCATTGTCTATTTAAACTATGTGTCGACTTATAGTTTAAACTGAAAATCTCATTTCAACCAATCAAATTTTGGGTTTTAAATGACCCTTATTCTCTTATCCTCTTCATGATTGCTTAATATTTAGTCATCGAACTGTTCTATAAGAACGAAATCAAGATAAAAGTTTTAAAAATAGAAATTTCATTATACTTACGTCACTGCTCATAACACCATAAACCCTAA